GCAGAAAAAATTAAAATTAAAATAAGGATGCTCTAGGACTTTTGGGGGTTATGGAACTGATGTGGCTCTAGTTACACGTATAGTTATAGAAGTGTACACACACACAAAAAAAGAGTCAACATTAATGCAAGATAACTAAAAACAAAAGTCAAGCACACCTAAAAATCTCAAAGAACCCAATCAACCAACAAAGCAAACAAACAAAACACAAGGAAACTCTAAAGATTTTAAACTTTCTAAGTACTGCAACTTTGATTGATTTAAAATTAACATACTTTTAGCAAATTTTAAGGGTTATGTGATTCAAGTTTAGTTTTTTTTTTTTTTAAGGCAGAAATATTGAAATTACACTGATGAAAGTATGTGGCTTGGTTTTAAAAAATGCAAAATATACTGAACAAATAGAAAAAAAAATGGTCTTGTAATATAATTTCTTTTCCTTATTTTCTTCTCTGTCATTCTTGTCTCAAATAAAAGCAGCCCAAGATAGATTATTAGCTACATGAGCGCAAGGACATAGTTCATTTTACTATATACATGTAACAAAGTACCTGAAACATAATGTGAAGAACTAAGAAGGGTCTGGGATTTTACCCTTATCACAGGCTAACAAGCTGGCCTGCCTCAGTTTCATGGGTGCTGGCAGAAAATATAGGATTCTTGAGTCCCAAACAAAAGAGTTAATTACTCATAGCAACAGCACTAGCCAAATGTACAATCATTTTCTTGCACCAGTTCCCTATGCCCCAGTGATCACAGACTGACGCAAGAAAGAGGTGACACCTGCACATGCAGTGGGCTGCATTACAAGGAGAGGAACCTCAAATTCAATCCCAATGTTTTATAATGGGCCTTTGCCCCAGAGGGACACACTATCTTTATTATACTGAATAGTCAACAAATCTTATTTTCTGGAAGAGACACTATTTTTATATTCCAAGGCTGTTTGCTTTACAAATATTCTTGAAAAGATCATCCAGAAGTGTCAGTGCCTCTTCACAAGACATGCAGAAACACAAAAGTTCCATGGAGATTGTCTCCCAACAAATAACAGGTGCTCATTTCCAGTTTTTGATTAATTGATTAAAACAATGAAAAATTTTCCAATTATAAGTATCATTTCATAGTATTACCTGACACTAAATATTGGCACATTCTTAAAAGACCTATATGAATGTAATAATTTTTATATTTCCTAGTAAATATAACTTAGTAAATGCTTAATATCTTTGCTCTATTTCAGAAATTATAGCTTATTAGTAAAAATCACATCCTTGTCCTGTAATGAGTATATAATTCAACAAATATCAGTAAAAACACAAATATATTGGACTTACAATACATGAAGAACATTATTTTCAAGACACTACTGCATTCTATTAATGAGAAGAAAATTGAATTACATAATGAATGAAGATTAGTAAAAATAACTGTAGAAATAAGATCATTTAAGACAGAGCGAAGGAAAGTAGCCAGTTATGTTGATGAGAATACACAGAAAAAGTTTTATGAGACAGGAAATACTTCTATATCTACTTAGGAGAAAGAGATATTTTGGTGGAGAATAGGGAAATGTATATTGAATATAGATTAACTTTTTTAAAAAAAGATTTAAAAACATGTTATATTAGAGTTTAAACCTCAGGAGAAAATCACTGCCACATACTTAATTACATTGTATACCTCAGGAAATGTAAGTTTTCATGTTATTAAATATAAATACATATATTTGAAATAAATAAATAAAATTTGCTTATATTTATTTTTTCTAAAAGACTGGTTTGATCATTCTGCTCCAAATCCCAATAACATCTGCATAAATAAAACCTTGGCCAGAGAAGGCCTATAAAAGCGAGAATGACCTTCAGCCAATAGGCAGCAAGGACACAGAGATCTCAGTCCTCCAAACACACAGAAATGAGAATCGTGCCATGAATGAGCCTGAAAGTAGACCTTCCTCCAGAACCCGCAGACTTGAGCCCATGCTGGCCAGTACCTTGGTCTGAGACTTGTGGGATCTGAAGCAGAAAACTCAGGTGAAGCCACATGGACTTCTATCTAACCTACTAATCTATGAGATAAAAGAGTATTGTTTTAATCCACTAAATGTGTAGCAATTTGTATGGCAGCAATAGAAAACAAATATGGTGAATAAATTCAACTTAATTGGGCAGGTTTTAGCACTGCCCCATGCAGATTTTCTAATCTGTTCACCAGTTTTTTTTATTCTCTGAATATACATATATTATTTTGCCACTATTATTTTGTTCTTAACTCTTCCAGAAGGACCTTTGTGGGTCATTTCTGCTGACTAAGATCATATTCATCCATCCTTTAAGGCTTAGTCCCAAGTAAAATGATTTCACCCTAAAGAAATTTCTAGATTTTTTAAATTTTTTGATAAACTCCAATATTCATATTATACATTTGTGGGCAAACAGTGCCTTGTATGTGTAATCGTATCCTCTCTTTTATTTACCTCATTTCCCAACTTAGATTTGTAGTTCCCAAGGAGGAATGATATTATTTCACCCTTCTAGTAACCA